TGAAGAAATCACCGCTCGCACGATTAGAACTATCTCGTAGTGACTGCATTTGTGCTCCCCCTGGCACTCAACATTTGGGGGAAAAGGGCTCTGCGAGTTCTCGGTGGAACACACAGAGGGCGACGGCACTGGCAAGAATGGCTGTTCCTGCGGCACGGCACTTCGAACCGGAAGTCGATGCAGAAGCCCACAATTCTTTGCGTGAGCTACAATTTTGCTATCCACCTATTCCTGCCGCAGCGAAAAGTTTCGTGTACAAAGGTTGTTCCCGCATTCGATTTTGCAAGGGGGCCAAACTGCAAATTTCGCAAACACGCATCTTGTTGACCTTCTCACCTTTTATTATATTTATATCTTTTAGGGGCGAAGCTCCTTAAGGCGTGAGTCTGTCCATCCTCCGTTGTTGTACGTAGCCACCGGTGGCACATACCCACTCTGGAGTGGGTATGCGCCACAGGAGATGCTAGATGGTCAATGGCGGTACTTCAAGTGTTCACTAGATGGACGCACGGATGGACGCATAGACATACTAGCAGACGGACGGATGGATGAACGGACGTGCGGGGCGGGTATGTGCCACAGGGGATGCGAGATGGCGATACTTGCAGTCTTCACTAGATGAACGCAAGGACGGACGGATGGACGGATTGGCAGACAGACTAGAAAACGGACGGACGTATGGACGGATGGATAGACGCACGAACACACCGATGGTCGCGCGGGGCGAAAGAAAGAACGAACGGACGAACGTAAGCATGGACGGGCTGAAGGACGCTTCGCCTCACTCATCATCATTCACTCCATCGATATGCTGTGATTTTTTATCACTTGCATCTGTGTCCTTCTCTCAGAAAGTTGAAGGGCGTATAAGAAGCAATGTAACCTTATTACGCTTTCAAAGTATTTACACCAGACAGCAAGCACAAAATAATTCTCACCGTTTTGTCACTCTCCGAAGTATCTTGAGGTCAGTATGCGGCAACTTGAAGAAATGGAAAGGTCGACTGAAAGTAGGTACTTCGCACGGGCACGACAGACTACTGTGTTCGTGTCACGGTCTATGTGTTGTACACCACACGCTGAGGGATCACGTGCCACCAGCATAATCCGACAACTGTCAAGGCCACTAGACATGAACGGATGCGCTCTTCGACGTCTACACCACCACATGGACAGCAGATAGGTCCGCGGAAACCTTGTCAAGTGCCGAAGGTTCACCTCGCAAAACACTTTATAACGTCGCATTAGCTCCTTAGAAGCTGCAGGCGACCTTCACACCGATAATTGTAAGCACCGTCAAAGTAGACCATGAGGTGACCACCAAACTGAAGTCATCTCGCCGCTGTCTTCAGGCACGGAACACATGCCTCCCCACGGGCTCACATACAAGCAGGGGAACCTTGGTCTGGTAGCTGACTACGCTAAACACGGGAGCGTTGCGAATGAATGTCCTCCAGGGCATGTCTCTCCTGAGTGTGTGCGGTGCGCAGATGACAGTGGCACACAGAAGCCAGAAAGGAAGAGGTGGAAAGATGGGGGCAGGCTGCAACATAGCCAAGAAGGGGGGGGGGGGGGATTCGCAGAAATCACCACAGCGAGCGGGGGTGCTCCGGCGGCTTAACGTGGTGACTCCTATTTGCACTGATCGGAATCTAAAAACGCGCTGCCCAGTTCGGCGGCGCGGTGTATGGCACTGCAATGGCCGCGCCGTCGGAAGCCGGGGGCAGACGCAAACATTAATAAAACATTTCCAACGGGCCTAAACAGCGGAGGATAATGCGTGCAGCTGATCTGCTGCTCTTCGCTACAAATGCCGCCGTCGACGCCACTGTGTGGCTGCCGGTGGCGCGCTTTGTGACGGCTGTGTACGCGAACGTGCCCTGTGGCTGGTCCCGAGCATGTTCGCGATACCGTTGAGGTCCGTGTAGACGCGTACCTCTCGGTATGTCCTAGCTTTTTGTTTTCTACCCGAAAACGACCTCCGATGATTTTGGTATCACATGAAGTCTCACGGGCGTACGTGATCTGCAGGAACAACGCAGCCTTCGGTATAATAAGGGTGCTTTTTTTTATCATTATCCTGAAGGTCTGTCTGTAGTCTGTACCGGTGTGGCTACAGCGCAGCAGCGTGAAGATCGTTTTTCTTGTCATAAAGAAGCAACGGTCGTTTCGTTTACCTTGAAATTCGCACGTGCAAGGATACTCGGCATGGATTTGGAAAGGCGCGGGAATGATACATGACCTGTGTGTTTTATGTACTTGTTTTATGTCTATAGTAACGTCGAGGATCCTCATCCATGGTTACCGAGGCCCATATACTAGTCAATGGGCCGCTATTAGCCAACGTGACCCACTAACCAACGAGTTGGTATACTAAGTAGTAACTCCGTAACGGTTTTAATTGATGACTGACCAGTATCTTGTTTTGGGGAAGTGTGTGTGTGTGTGTGTGTGTGTGTGTGTGTGTGTGTGTGTGTGTGTGTGTGTGTGTGTGTGTGTGTGTGTGTGAGTGTGCGCGCGTGTGTGTGTGGAGTAGTCACGTTAGCGCTGCAAAAGCATCAGAATTCAGCAGTTTCAACTAGTCCAGCTAACCACCGGACGCTCTATTTGAATATCCATGCGTGATCTTTCATCTGTGCACGTATATATGTATGTGTGCATACAAACTTGAAAACTCGGGGTATGGGTTGGAGGGCTGACACTGCCCCGCCTCCCCACCCCCATGTTCTGGTTTGGACACGCCACAGTAGTACTATGCCTTCGTTTTTTGGAGGGTATAAGTTTTTACTCAATAAGAACCACAAGGTGGCTTATAATCAGAGACTGCTGCACATATCAAAGTTACTGTTGCCATAGGACGGCAACAACGACAATAACAAAAATGGAGCTCAGTCGGCGCACTCAACAAATAAACGTTGCGCTCAGGGTTTAGCTCACACTCACGAAGGTATTCCTCAACCGGACTCACTCACGCTCATACTTGCTACACTTTTTCCTAACCTGGTGCACTCGGACTTGCAATTTCACCAAAGTTTTCCTCACTTTGACTCAATCCTATAACGACTTTCCTAAAATGTTTCTCAACCGGACTCAGGACGACTCAGCAGCATCAAAATATAACTCAGCCGGAATCACTCAATCTCGGGGCTCGAACCGAGTCGGAATGAGAGAACTCATGGGTATACGTCTGTGTATAATTAGTTATATTAAGGTGTCAATGCTCCTTAGCGCCAGAAGGTCACATTATACTGGAGGTCCAAGTGGCGTGGCTTTCAGTCTTGTACACAAAGGTACGAAATAGGGAGAAATTTTGTCAAGAACAGGCTCGGAAAAGATTTTTCGGGAAAGGCACCCCTCTGCCTAAGTGACGCTTGTGATCGATTAATATAGAACTGTCATATGAACACTCGTACGTTGAAGTGTGCGTCTGTATATAGACAGGAGTGTAAACGTGAGCCGTGATAAGGCTCGTGATTCTGACGCATAGGATACAGCAAAAAAGTGAAACTTACTCGCACTCGCTCAGGAGATATACATTTCTTCGCTTGGCGATCGCATGGACTCAAACTCGCTAAAGTTTTCTATCTCAACCGCATATACTCACTTGTACTCAAACTCACCAAAATATTACTCAGCAAGACTCTTAAACTGAGACTCACGGTCTGATCTGAGTGAGAGTGGGTCGACTCACGAGTGATTTTGCCCCGCCTTCCCTATCACAGTCCTCTGCAGTGCATATAACATGGTTACGTCCTTAGAATAGATAACGCGCAATGCTATATGTTGAAGGTATTTGTTGACCCCATGTTAAGCAACGAATTGTGTAGCTTTTGTATGCTGTCAATTATAGTGCATCCACTGCATATGCGACCGCAGAATGTTTCTTGCTCAACTAATCCCGGAACAAAAAGAACTGTCAACACATTTTCAGCCTTTTTTTTTTCGTCAACGCTATAGTGCTTGGTCTAGCCCTAACTTGATCATATTAACTTCGAATCAGCAGAGCGAGCAAGTATTATTATTTTCTTGCACCATCATTTCGATAACGTAGCGAGAACACCTGATGCGCAATAAGTAGCAACACTAAAGTATATTCCTCGCTGAGATCTGGGTATCGCATTTTGTGTGAATGTGCCAACTGGCGTGAATGCGATTAAGTAGACATGCATTAGTTCATCATGGCACACCACTCTGTACTCTCTCCGTAGAAAATACGATAAACGCGGAATGTATACGTTTAAGTAGCTTCAGTTCATGATGCATATAAACATGCAGAACGCCATGCTGCTTCACGTTTATTTTGCCAAATGGGCGAGTGCTTTTTCATATCTGTTTTGAAAGTAGTATTTACTTACGGAGAGGAGTAACAGCTGTGGAGCTGGAGAACAGGGTGGCGTAAGAGGGCGAGGCATTAGTCACACAATGCGGGCTGCGAGGAGTTCTCGAGAAGACGAACACGAACAGATGCATCAAATATGTGACACCCGAGTATTGTAGAAGTTTACGATAAGGTCACGAGGCTCGAAAGAGTGAGGAAAGGCTTTTATTAGCTCCTATGATCTCGAGCGAAATAGGTAGCCGAGATCAGGCTTTGAAAACCACGTTTATTGGACGGATTCGGAGCATCGCTTCATTCAAAGGATTCGGCGCAAAACATCTGGCACCGTCCGTATTGCGCTCATCTTGCGCCGATTGCCGACGACCGAGTGCAGGCGCTCGGAGCGCGCGTTGGTTGCTTCGCGAGCAGCTCGCCCTCACGACACCTTCGTTGGTATCCGGGACGCCCGCGCGTCGGCGCCACCGCCGCGTCTCCCGCGCGGTGCTATCCAGTGCCGCGTCCCGCCCCCGGGCCCTGTGAGCGCGTGCGCAGTCCGGCCCCCTCGGAAGGCGGCCCGCGAGAGGTGCCCCTCCCGTGAGCCCCTCCCCTCCCGGCGAGCAGTGGGGGCGCCCCCGCGGCGGCTTGCGTCGGACCCCTCGGGCCGCATAGCGAAGCCAGTGCTCGGCCGAGTCAGATGTGCGCGGCGCCCGTGCGGAGGGCGGCATGGCAGCAGCGTCGAACCCGTACATCGGCACGTCGGCAGTGTCCAGCCTGACGTCGGTGCACCTGCCGCCGAGCCAGGCTATGCAGGTGGCGGCATCGCAGCCGACGGCGGGCTACGGCCGTGAACCGCCCGAGATGAAGTACATGCCACCGCAGCCGCACCACCAGGGAGGACCGAACGGTCTGTCGAGCCACCACCATCACCAGTGGGTGTCCCTGCAGACGGACGCCTCCATGTGGTCCATGGCGCCGGCCAGCATGGCCGACATCAAGCCCGCGCAGGCGGCCGAGCTGGGCCACCACCACCCGCTGAGCGGGAGCCACCACGCGCGCAGCGCGCAGCACATGGGCTCGTGGCACCACGCCGTGTCACCGCACATGGGAGCCATGGGCGGCATGCACCCGCAGCACCACCAGCACCACCACCACCCGTACGGCGGCATGAACGGCATGCTGGGCGGCGCGGCCCACCCGGCCATGCGAGAAGTCCCTCACGCCGACCAGGTGCCCCCCCACCCGCACATGCACGGGCAGCACGACCCGCGCGCGCTGGACCACCACCACCGGCACCCCAGCGAAAGCGGAGAGGAGGAGGCGCCTAGTTCGGACGATCTGGAACAGTTCGCCAAGCAGTTCAAGCAGCGTCGCATCAAGCTCGGCTTTACACAAGCCGACGTCGGGCTGGCGCTCGGCACGCTGTACGGGAATGTATTCAGCCAGACGACCATCTGCCGATTCGAGGCGCTGCAGCTGAGCTTCAAGAACATGTGCAAGTTGAAGCCGCTGCTGGCCAAGTGGCTCGAGGAGGCCGACTCGACCACCGGTTCGCCCACCTCCATCGACAAGATCGCCGCGCAGGGACGCAAGCGCAAGAAGCGCACCAGCATCGAGGTGTCGGTGAAGGGCGCCCTCGAGTCGCACTTCCACAAGCAGCCCAAGCCGTCCGCCCAGGAGATCGCCTCCCTGGCCGACAGCCTGCAGTTGGAGAAGGAAGTGGTCCGCGTCTGGTTCTGCAACCGGCGGCAGAAGGAGAAGCGGATGACGCCGCCCATCAACCAGCCGCAGGCTGGGGCACCCGGCGGCGGACCCCCGACGCCGGACATGATGATGTGCCACGGCGGATCGCCCGGAGACATGCACCACCACTCGCCGCCGGCCATGATGCAGTCGCCGCCGCCTCCACCCCCGCCCCCGCACTCCGCGCTGCACCCGGGCCAGTCCCTGGCGGCCCACTGACCCACGCTGTACCCCTGCCTATTCAGCTGCGACGACGCCTAGCCGTTCGCCGGTCTGCAGGACAGGGGTGCGCGAGTGCCGCCACACCCGCCGCGTACAAAAAAGAAAGTGCAATCCTCCCCCTCATCACGACGTGGCTGTGGTGGTGATGGTGGGTGCCGGTGTTGTGTGGCCCGGGACGGGGTGGTCGCCTCGACGTTTTTTGTACATATGACGCCGTATGCAGCGCGACGGACGATTTCTTCTAAGGGGCCTTCACCCGTCGTCGTCGGACCCAGATGCCTCCCGCAGAGTGCCGTAAGTGTCAGTGCGCGGTTCTCCTTCGCGCCACTCTGTGACCGAACACGAGGCGACAAACACACACGCAGCGGGAAAGCAAAAACAAAACAAGGTGCCAACCAACGACTCTCCAGACGTTCCTGCTGCACGAAGAGGCGCGTTGACGTCGGCCTTCGGTGTTTGCAGCGACAAATGTGACGCCGTGAAAACAGCCTGTACACAAACACACACGTACGCGCGCTACACATGGACGACGCCCCACAACACTCACCGACACACCACTCGCGCTATCACACTTTTTGTTGTTATACGCATTTGTCCCCCCGACAGCAACAAATGAGACGGAGACAGGCATGCCCAACTAGTCCAGGTAGGCAGACATCACTTCTCTCGCTCACTTCGCCGTGTCCTTTTTTTTTTTTTTTATTTCACCTACGTGACTATTTCTGTACAAGCCTGGTACTCTGTGCATCTTTCTGTTCTCTCTTCTTTTTGGTCTGGTCATTCTGCTGACAGATTTGTTTAATTCGTAACGACCGTTCCTCTCTAGAGGTTAATTACTATTACTATATTTTGTTTTCTTTTTCGTTTGACCACGTTTTAAATCTGCTACTGTTTGTTTTATGTCACATCATTTTATAATTTTTTTTTTCGCGGGCTGTTCTGCTCAACGTATGAGTACATTGCAGTCTCTGCTCGTAATTCGACGCCTGCACGTGTTATTCTATTTCACCCTACATGCACGTCTAAAAGAACGTGAGGGAACTAGTTCTTGAAGGCACGATGGCGTAATTATTAAAAAAAATTGACGCTATAACTTTGTAATCAGATTGGCTTTTAAAGCATGACCTTGACAAGAGGGCTTCAAAAAAAATTTAGAAATGTGTACGTCGCCCTGCAAAAGTTACTTCGTAGCAATATCGAATTCCTCCGCTGACCGCCGCAAATGCAGTAGAACCAATCAATGCTTACTTGCGTCTTGAAGAAAGAAAAACAACGTTTACATGATGCGTGAATCAACAAATCATTCACTCACAATTGCTCTTTAGCAAATTTCCGAATGGAATCCGCTTAGAAGCAGGACAACGATGATGAAGCAGGACAGTCCGCCTTTCATTTAATTTCTTTGTTATATTTGCCTCGCGGGTGTGTGAAACCCGTGCGAGCATGTCCACACCGATCGCACCCTAAAACGTGCTGGGATAGGCGATCGTAAACTGTCTTTCACAAAGCGAGACGTTAATATACCTCAAAAGAATACCACTTCGCCTGCTGCTCCCCCGTGTGCGTGTAAAAAAAAAAAAATTTCTTCATTCGTTAGGTCATTGTTTTGTTCCGCGGTGTTTCGATTGCGTATGTGTGTGCTGCGTCCGCGTATTCGTACTGTGTGTGTCCTTTCCTCACATTGTGTTTTAAAGTGTATGGCTATGTGTATGGTGTATGGCTGTTCTATCTCCTAATCTTTTCGCTTTACGTTTTTCTGGAGGAGGGGGGGGGGGGGGGTGGACTTGTTTCTTAGACTTTCTTTACGCGTAACGAATGGAGCTATTGTGTGTCGGACAATATAAATATATAAATATATATATAAAAAGTTCTTTACTCGGCCTCGTGCCAGTCTCCGAGATGGTGTATACAGGGAACATGTTAATTCCTTTTGTGTAACGCTATACGCGTGGCCAGCACTTGGCGCGCCGAGCTTTAAAAGTCTTTTTCGCTATTCACGGGCGGGAGCATCGTAGCGGCACGCTTGCACTGCTAAAGAAAAAAAAATTAGAGTGATTACACAAAAGACCTTGAGGATGCGAGGACAGCAATAAACGCGTCGACTGTTGTGCGTACTTAATTATCAACGCGGTAATTAGCAACGTCTTTTTTTTATTCGTGCAGACCCCGAGATAGAGGAGAAAGAAAATTGCGGGTCCCTCGTGGTCGTTCCGCAGCATTTCAGGCAAGCCCGAGGAAGTGTATTTGTATCGCACCGATCGCTTATAAAACGGCGATGACATTTTGCGATTGTGGGTCTCGCGGCGATTCTCTCTCCGCGCGATAAATTTTGCGAAGGCGATATAGATACATAATAGAATAAACCGCTGGCAATTGTGATGGCGAGACAATAGTCTCGGAAAGAAAGTGTGACCTTTCCCGTGGCGTTGTTGCTTTCGACGCGTTGATGCGCATTTATTACTATATATTTTTAGCTATGGAGAGTGCGCGAAAGTAAAGCGACCCAAGAGCACGAAGTTGAGGTGTATAGTGTGTGTTCTCTCGCGAGGAACTTGTTTTAGGGGCGAAACAGTTTATAGGGTCGGCGTGTCATGTCATCGTCACGGGTATGCCTCACAAAAATTTTGTAAATTGCACTGTCCGCCGTGCACCAGGCAGTTCATACTATATGTGTACTATGAGTTAAATGTTTTTTTTTTCTCACTTTCTGACGCGTTCCTATTCGAGCATGTATACATGGCTCTGAGGTATGTCAGCGTTCCGTATTATAAACGAGCTTGGGTGGTAGCGTTTGCTAAATTTTTTCCGTCTCGTAAATCCCTGCTTGTTTAATTCCGGATGATTTGATTGATTTGTAGAGTTTAACGTCCCAAAACCACCATATGATAGACGCCGTATACTGGAGGGCTCCGGAAAGTTCGACCACCTGGGGTTCTTTAAGATGCACCCAAATCTGAGCACACGGGCCTACAACATTTCCGCCTCCATCGAAAATGCAGCCGCCGCAGCCGAGATTTGATCCCGCAACCTGCGGGTCAGCAGCCGAGTAGCTTATATACCACTAGACCACCGCGGCGGGGCTTAGTTCCGGATGATGCGTTTCGAAACATCACCAGCGAGGACCGTCAGTCGTTGCGACGGTTTGTTTTGTGCCGTACAGTGGTGGCAATTCAATGTGGAGGGGCGAAAAACAAAACAAAAGCAACGCTACAACAGAGCAACAAAAAACGTTGAAAGACTACGTATACGTCACTTTAAAATGTCATCGATGTCATAGCAAGAGCTGACAGAGGCAGCACCCGTTGCTGTGTAGTGCAATGCAGATTTTTTTTTTCGTCCCTTATTTTTCGATCTCCCCCACGTTGTTACGAGCCAGCCAAATGTTCTTGCCTCCCGTAAACGAAAAAAAAAAAGTAAGAGCGGGAAAACGTTCAAGCGAGAAAAAGAAACGTGCGCTATTTATCGCCAACAATGCGACGCCGTTGTGTGCGTTCTCTATCGAGAATAGAGAGCTGAAGGAACAAATTAAACAACTAAAATGGAGCAATATGAAATAGTTTAGCGAAGAATAGTGTTTCGAAATCCGCAGATTCCTAAAGCTTCTTCCCGGCAGTGACGGAGGAGCGTGTGCCATATCACGCCGTTTTGCAACTGCGCGCTTGGCAGCCATGACGACCGAATAATTGAAAACATAAAAATAATAATATTAATAATAATAAAGGAGCACAGCAGCAGTGACAGACTGTAACTATATAGGGAGGAAAATCGGCGATTTCGAAATCAGCGCCATGACATCGTCGACTTTCAGTTCTTTTGTGTATGTTTTTGTTCGAACCAAAGATTCTATGGGTGATTTAGCTTTGGCGCGCGAATTTTTATTCAGTTTTTTTGTTGAACTCCGCAGCCACAGACATACTCCCAGGCGCGCGCCCTACAAGGCATCTCAGCCCCCGATGATCATTTTCTCCCTCCTTATCCCTGCTATAGCAGCAGTGTATAGCGCGAGCTAGAAAGTCTCGCAATCCAGTCGGGGGACGTAACATCTGCAGCGTAGAAAGCTTGGTATATGATCGCCCTGAGGGCCGACAGCTTTTTGAAAATGTGTGCGCGCAGGCATGTGAGAAACGACAAAGAGAAAGAACGAGAATATCGGCGAAAATGCTTCTGAACTTGAGTGCTCTTCTAGGAAAGTCTCCGAGGCGCGGCGGTTGGGCTGTGACGTTAGGGGCGTCGCATTGTAGCAATGCCAGCGCGAAAGGTCGCCGCAGGCCCGTGTAGAAATGCAAGAAAGCGTCGTTGTAAGGTGCCCATGCATCAACGATATATACGGAAAGCCTGGCAGAGTATGTGGCAACATGGTGTGAAGGAGAGATACGTCAAAAACGCGTTAATAATAAGGCAGCTGTCTCGCGTGTGGTACGTGGTCCCTGCAGAGAACTGTTACTGGTAGTTCATTTATAATGCCGTTTGCTAAGCAGAGCTCAGCCGGGGCACACGTTGCTGTGGCGGCGCTGTAATCAAAATTTATATCGATGAGTTAGGTCTTTTTTTTCTCGTGGTTGCTTTGAGAGAATGCAGTAAGACTTGTGTTGTGTCACGATAACTAATGGGAACCACCTCGTTGTATTAAGGTTCGCTTACATCTCATCTTTCAGTAGTGCGTGATTTGTGATGGACTAAGTCGTGAAGTTGCGTAATCTTCAGACACACTGAACTGGTAGGAATTTGTTGACGTTTGCATATAGATACGGCTGGCTTAATAATCGAGGTTGCTGCCATTGCTTCTACGTTTATCGATCAGCCATGATCATTACCGATGGAAATCTACCGCATTTAGGTAGGGGTGTTGGAGTGACAAGAAAATGCCCGTGTGCTCTATAATCTGATCGCCCGCACTGAATGCGTACCCGGTACCCCAAAGTATATAGAGTTGAGCGTCTCATTTAGCTTTAGCACACACGTTTGGAATGTGAGAAATTGCTGAGTCATATGGTCGCGACCACCGTGGTAGCAAAATGTTGGAAGTCAAGAAAGTGAAACGTAAAGGAAGTACGAGGAGGTTATTGAGAGGAAATTTTCGGTACGCTACTTTGTGCGTAGGAAGTCAAGAGAGTAAAAGAAACGCAAAAGGTCTGTAAAGATATAACAAAGTCATTAAGGCTATTAGACTAGGCACAAATAATGTGCTAAAACATTTTCTGCGTAAACTGCAATGCTTAAATGTTGAGGCCTGTACGTGGACGCATTAAGCTTAAGAAAGGAAGGTCGCCATATAAAACACCGAGTCACGCGTGAAGCTTGCGTTTAAAAATGAGGGGATCGTCGTACTAATAGACCTATGTCAAGATCGACGGTCGACGTTCGGCTGGTTGCACCGTCACAGACAATCATCAGCTGACCGTTAATTGCTGTTCCGTATCTTACGTTATTTTCCTCGACTCGCAGCGAATAGTTATTTAGCAGAGAACCAGGGAAGCCTATGAGCACTCGCGCTTTTATTTCATTTTTTTTTTCATTATTTTGATTTATTTCGCGAAACGAACGTGGTATCCAGTTTGGGCGATAAAACTGGTGAACGTGCGAACGCGATGTTTCTCTGCGCGTAAAAAGTGTGTATAAGGTGAACGTGCATCGCCGTGGCTTTTCCCTGCGTGTCTAATTACTTGAAGTTGCGACGAAAATGGCTCGAATTGAAATGAAGAAATTGTTGAACGACAACGAAAGAACAAAACAAAACTGCGCAAAAAGGGTGAGTCGACAGTCCATTCAGCGACGCTTCCGACGGCTCATAATTTAAGCGTTGAATGGTCGCTATAAACATTGTGCGCGTAGCGTAGGAGAGATAGATATGCTGGCATATTCGCGAATCGTGTACGCGAATCCTTTTGTGAAGACGCTCGTAGAATGAACTATATTATGGAGGGAAAAGGAGAGAATGAGAGGCAAGTCGTGCTTCTATGATTGTTGTGTCGGGAGCGTTTACATCGTATTCATTGACCTTAACGGAGACGTTGCTATGAAAAAAGGAAATTGTTTTAAATGGAGGAAGTAAATCATTCCTGCCCCGAGCGTTGCGACTCCTGAAATTTCGTTAATGGTCTTATAAACGAGATTGAAGAAAAGTGCAATTTAATGTGTACAGTTATACGACGCTTTTCTAATGCTTCGCTCCGTTTAATGTAACGTAATTTATCGTTCTCCCGGTTTGTGCCGTTCGTCTGCAGGACACGAGGTTGCCAGAGCGATCGCCTCGGTCGTGGTCCGTGTGACGTAATGCGAGAGAAACAAATTGATGCTCGCGTGCCGTGGTTCGGATGCGCATTTAAAAACGTCAGCTTGGTCGAATTCTATAGTTCCCACGCTGAACCGTCTCCCAATAGGGCGGTTACGTTGCTTCGGGACTCGAAATCTCACTCTACTATCGATTTCGTTCGTCACAAACAGTCAGTACCAGCACGTCGAGCCGTTTCGTTCATTACAAAGTCGTGCAGCTGTATGTGTGTAGATCGCTATAGGCGTGCGTGGTCAGGTAGAAATAAAACTAGCACGAATAAAAGCATTCGATGAGCGATATCGAAACTATGGCAAATGCTATAATGAATTGGGACGTGCAAGGCGATTGCTCCCGCCTTAGCTAGAGCAATAAATGGACGCTCCATGATTATTTTTAACGACATTAATTAACAATGTCCACCCCTCTTTGTTTTGCATTCTTTGTTTTTCGAACAGGTTGCGGTGAGAAGAGAATTGCAGAAATACGTGGGAACTAATTTCACGTAGCCTTTAGTGCAAGTTGCATCTCGGCAAATTAAGCGACGACGTTGGGAAGCACGCATTCTCCTTTCCATATTTGCATAGTAGATACACGACATTCAAAACACGAAGGAATCGAAAAAAAGAAAACTGGGGTGTCGAGGTTGAAGTCACTACGGCTACAGAGCCAGCCCTTACGGGAATGCGGTCAAACATGGAGAGTTTTGTCGAAAATGCCATTATCGTATTGGCATCCTTCGCTTCCTATTCCGTTTGGATTTACTATAGACGCCGTGATCTGTGAGGATACGGTATGGATTTCGTACTTTAAATGAAGACCAGTATGGGTGTAATATTACGTTCGCTCTCTCCCTCTCCTAAATTATACGAACTGTAACTTCCCACCTACAGAACATCACTGGACACACAGAGGAACACCGAGGGAAGCATTCCTTTTTGCCTCTCTTGTACAGTTGCGAGTGCACATGATAAATGTGTGTGTACAGATTCACTTTGCATTCAGGGAAATACGTTCTCACAGAAAGCTATAGAAGCAAGTCTGTTCCTTCTTCGTGCTTGGACACGATTAACGACGCACTGAAACTATTAGGAAAAAAAAAGAAACAAGCAAATAAGCACACGCTGTTGTTTTGTCTGGGCAACGAGTTGTCGACGTCCGCTTCGCTGGTGTGTAACAGTGTTTCGCGTCAGTCCATGCACGTCCTCGCGTTCTGTTCTGTCTTTCAGCCTGCTTTCCTAATTGCGTTTTGTACTTTGTCCTTCGTCCTGTAAGACGTCCTTCCTCTGAGACATGATTCGAAAGGTCGATCTTCCCGCTTATATAGCCCACGCTTGACGGGTGCAAGTTCTGCGATAGCGCGTGGTCTCAACGGGGCAACCACATGAAGCGTATTTGGCGCGCCAGCTCGCGTCCATCTCGCGTCGTGGAGCAGTTACGTCTGAATAACGGCTGAATTTTGTTTCTAAGCAGTTTTTTCCAATTCAATCAGCAGCCACACAGAATAGGTTTTTTTTTTCTTTGTAATCAAGAGGAGTAGAAAGATGAGCGGTGCGTTACTCAGTACGCGAGAAAGACGCGTCATGTGGTTCGCCGTCATCGGACGACGCCTAAGTGTAGGTTGAAATGAGTGTAGCGTATACAATGGCAACAAAGAGATGGTAACGATGTGAAATATGGGTCAATAGCATAGGTAAAGGAAGTGTTGATACTGATAACTGGAATTTCCAGCGAGGGTATATTTAATCCTGAGTACGAAAAACTATGATGAAGAATATCCTGTGCTTGTCTCCTTTCAAACATGACTCCGCAGAGTTCTCAAATTCGTTTTCTTTGCACTCGAACCTTCTTGCTCTTTTGTGTCTCTTTTTGTCACTGACTTTTTTTTTACTGCGAGTCGAATGTCACAGTGTCAAAACAACAGCCATTGTTTGAGCGTTGCCTTTCAACCGAGCTGTTAGCCTACTTTGCTCTGATCGATAATTGTATTTTTGTGAGACTGCAGTTTGTCACACTGCCGTGAGGTGTCGCAATGTCGCTTCATGTGGCGCCGCGTAGTGCTTGTCCCTGTCCCCAATTGAGCGAGGTTGTCTCAAGCGGTTCGTGGCTATGAAATATACCAGCCATCAAGAACTGTTAAAAGCATGATTACGTTCACTATTACAAATAAGATTCTTGTCAGAGAGGTTGTTTAAAATCAATTTTAACTGATCATCTTTCAGCATCCATCGATGTGTTATTCACAAAGTTCGAGAAACCTCTTGCGAAAGTCACAAAAAGTGCGCATTAGTGTTTGCCTAATGACTGCGTGCGATGCTATTTTAGCACGAATTTCTTGTTGCACGTGCGCTCCAAAAGTGATATTGCGACACACCGCGAAATACAGTCGTCTTTCGTTGTCCTGCATTATTCTTCGTTTCTTATTTCGAGGAACAAAACAAAAGTTTTAGGTCGCCTGGCACCTCAGTTTCTTTTGAAAGAGGGGACGTAGAAATATGTGTGGATGTCTAGCAAATGGAGATGACGTAAACTCAATAATCTTAAAAAAGAACAATGTCTTGCTAACCTAGACGAAGCAGCGAAAGTGTGTTTTATTTATTTCTTATTTTACCGACGAATATTTGGTACTATTGACTGTACAGTGATCGAAGGTTTAGAGCAATATGAGCTCGCCAGGCAGACAAAACATTTTTCAACAAGTACGTCACGGTTGGGTTCAGCAAATGGGAAGGGCATGGACAGCTCGCCGTGCCCTGTCTGTAGACATGCATGATAGATTACAGGCAGTCTTCTGACACTAAAACAAGACGGAACATGCCGCAGGCATTGCCGAGATGGATGTGTTCAGTCAAAATCCACGCCCTGCTTTCCTGAGTTTTTTATAATAAGATGGATCTTAGTCAAATCATTGTTTTTTTCTTGTCGCATTATATGGCTGTTGCGTTTCGAGCCGCACAGAAATTTAATGAAATGCTCTTCGAAAGTCATTGTAGCGTAAATTACGCCTTACACAGAGTGATACAATACAGTGTCCACCTGCTTCCATAAAGTAGTGGAACAATGCTAAGAAAGATCCGTGAAGTAAGTTAACCTTAAGCGTGGCTTTCGCACGCTGCGGAAGAATAGTTGAGCCATCGCCGTACTGAATACCTTGACATTTTCATTGAGAAATACGAGCCCATAGTGTACTGAACACATGTGCGCACTTTGAGATCTTCGCGAGACTGGCGCTGTCTACGTGAAGATCGAACGTTACACGTTACCACGTAGCGCGCACTTTGTCCCTTCAATCTGTGAGCGCTTTCCAAGTGCACTGCTCAAATATCGTGCTTTTCATTGAACGTTTTCAGCCTGTCGGTAAAGTCATCTGAATACTTCCGAGCTTCCGCACGTATTATTTCTCGCCCCCTTCTTTCTTTTTAATGTCTTGCTGCCATAAACGTGCGCAAAGGGATAGGGGGAGGGGGGCTGATGGGCGGAAGAAGGGGCCCACCCTATATAGTCACCACGAGGAGGGTACTTAATGAATCTGCCCCATACATTTACCTAATGCGAACATTCCCCCCCCCCCCCCCCCTCGCCTGATCAGCGACCCTGCGCACGGCTGTGCTACTCAGTTCTCTGCTCAGGAGTTTTTTTTTTCTTTTTCCCGGTGAATTAGGATGAACACGCTGCTGACAGTTCATGTGTTGCTCTCGTTTTTCTTCCCCAGACTGCATTATGTTTCTGTGCATTGTATGTGCGTTTATTACCTAAATTGGCGTTTTCCATGTGTTTTATGTTTAAAGTGCTGCCGTGCGCATTGTGCTACCGGTGTGATCATTGTTGAACCATGTATTCCTTCTCGACTCTACTGTATTGTACACTCCCGTGTCATGCACGTTTTCTTGTTTATTTGTTTCTTGCTCCATGCTTACGGCTACATTCCAACAAATGTTCATAAACCAGGTAAATGTACGGGCGTTCATGTACATGTCAGAGAGTGAGAGAGAGATTAGTTGAGGAAAATAATAGCAGAGGAGAAAAAATGGAACTATTTTCCCATTCGAGAACGGATTTGTCTTCCGTGTCTCGATCGAGTCATTGAAATTTCTTTTGTTCGTTTGTTTGTTTCGCTTGTGTATATAGAATCGCCCGAAAGTGTGTATGTGTGTGTGCATTTGTATGTCGCGAGATGACGTGTGTGCGTGCGTGTGAAAAACAAACAAGCAAACAAATGGATTGACGCCTGAAGACGAAGTGATGAGCATGCTTGACGTGTGGTGCGCGTTTCAACTGTAATGAAAACGACGGGTGGCGCTGTTTTTTTTTGTTTGTTTAATTTGCCTCAACAAACACGCAAGGACGATGGATGTACATATAAAACACAAGAGACTTTGAGAGACAAAAAAACTGGTCTATGTATGTATACTATACAGATATATATAGTTGTCTATGACCAATCCTTTTTTTTTTTAATTTTCGCTGCTGTGGATGGTCAGTGGTCGCGGTTGCTGTGTGACTGTGTATGTACTACATAGCTTTCCTCTTTGCGTCTATTACAAACTCACTCAGCCTCTCCCTTTCCCAAACTTTTTTTTTGTCTGTCACGCATGCTACCTGTTTGCGCGATGCTTCGCAAACCTAAAACACCCTCGCTGATCACGTGACCGTCAGGTTTACGTGTTAGCCTCGACGATCCTTTTCAATTCTCTGTCTGTGTTCCTGTTTTTTCAATCTTAGGGGTTTTTTTTTTTACATTTCCAAATGAGTGAACGATGGACGAAATGATGTGAACAGAAGAGTGACGATTATATGCGGACATTTTTATGATGGACACAGTTCGTATCCATAAATATATTTGTGCCTGTAAAAAGCGAAAAAAAAAGCACCCGACTCCGGTGTCTCATTTCATTGGTGCTCTCCGTGAGCGCAGTGAGTCACGTGATTTGCACATAGGAAAACAAGACTTTGGCAACAGTTCACTGAAGATGGATTACAAGTGACCACATCTATCGGGGCTTAAAGTGAGCCCAAGTGTTCAGCATTGCTTCTGCGTGGTCAGGGCGAAGCATTATGTTTTTGGTGTCTGAGCCGATGCATCTGGTTGGGTCAAGCAGGGGGCGTTAAATTGGTGCTTGAGTTTGAAAGTCTTTAGTCGAAGATACACAGCACGCACACGACGTGGGGTGACAGAGTGCGCTCTAAGAAAAAAGAAATGTCGTTTGACTCTTGTTTGAGTGTACTCATTTATCACGCGTATATGACCATCTTTAGATTGGCAGGAGAACTTTCTTGGGGGATCATTAAATTCTCTTGAGAGAGTCATATGACTCACAAGAGAGTTAACGTAACTCTTTAAGGAGAGTAATATACGTGTCAAGTCGGCATCAACTCACCGAAACTAGTTACACATTCCCTCTGTTTATTAGAGCGTGAATGAGAAAAGAAATAGCCCAGCGCATTATATGTGCATACGTGAGTTCCAGGTTTTCTCTGTTTTTTTTTTCTTTTGCCAAAACTTTACAAGCTGGTTGAAGTCAATGCATTCACAAAGTAACGTTTGGTCAGTCGGCCTACAGTGATCCGAGGATGTGGTCACGTGGAAAGATATTAACGCGACGTTGTGGAGCCTTTGCCGCTGCTGTGAATACACATTTACGTGACCGGCTCGCACTTGCAATTCAGTTTGTGCAGCCCATGTGCTCAATGTTAGCATATAATTGCTCCAGACTTGGTGTCTTAAGCCTACACGACGTTAAATGAAGGCGCGTGGTTGCGATGCTCCGCATTTACAAGTCGGTGTTGTCACCTGACGCATTTTTGCAGCGAGAAGCAAGCGAAGTTACACAAAGATAAGTTTTCAGTGCGCACTATTGCAATACGAATGAGCTCCGCAAGCAAAAGTGCGGAGGGCTGGTCAATCACATAAGCGAGAGATTCGAGAAAGCTGGCTTCCTTTTAAACCCTAAGTACCTTTCCTGGGCTAATATAAACGCCACGCATGTTTAAAACTAATGTTTCGTCATTCCTGTTTGAATTGTTGTGTCTAAACGTCCTGAAAAACGCATGATATGAGTGTGAGAGGTGCCATGGTTGAAGGTGCCGGAAACTTCGACCACCTGCGTGGTTCTTTAACATGCACCTAAATATACACGGGCTTCAAACGTTTTCGTCTCCACCGAAAATGCGGCCGCCGCGTCAGGACTTCGATATCGCGATGATCGGGCCAGCAGTCGAGCTCCATAATTACTGCTGCACCGTAGTAAGTTGCCTAAAACATTAACAATTGGTGAGATGTGAGAAAACGGGACGAGATTTTCCGGGACGTTCAATTTTTATTTTGTTTTAAAACCGGTGAAACTATCATGTGTTCGTCTTTATGTAAAGCGAGGCAGTTCTGCATACTATAGCAGAACTGTCGTCAAATGCAACGTGGGGTTGTCTTATAGAGCTGTGCTGCAGCGATTACTCACAGGCCTTCACTGCATCGAGAACTCTACAGTAGATGCTATGGAATGACAATGTGTGCTGCCTCGCAAAAGTCTACGTGCTGAGCGTATACATTCCTCGCTGATTGAAATGCGACAGCTCAGGCTACGCGATTCACGTCGTACTCTTGTTTCAACCGTCTTCAGTTCGTGTGGCCGTAATTCCGAATCGCGAGCTTTCATCAGAGCCACTACTGTTTTGGGGACTTGTATCGTTGCGACAGGACGTGGTTATCTCAAAACAGTTGCGTACTCCAGACCAGTCGTTGCACTGAAAGTTCAGATGTCGCATTTCAATGAGTGCACAGTGTACATTGAGGATGTCACAGAATGTAAAGCGCAAAAAAGAAAAGAAAAAAAAGGAAGGGCGGTTTACGTGGACAGCTTGCGGCAGTCGACTTTCAGAACGGAGCCGTTAAACTTTTCGTTATCCCATTTCACGTCGACGGATAGTTATCGTCATCAGGAACCTGCACGCGCAATTGTTCTGCCTTTCTTCTTCTGCTTCGTTCCCAGAACACATGTGCCTATTTGCCCGCCGTGGGAGCAACAATAGTAACGTAGCGTTTTTGGCGTGTTGGTACGTCATACTGAAGTTTTCTACAGCACCAAAAAACGCGGACGGGGCTGCGCTATAGACTTCGAGCAACATAGCGCCTGTCCGGTCTTTGTCCGTGTTTTTTTTTTTCGGGCCACTAGAAAACTACGCGGTTCAAAAAGATCTCTTGTGGGTAAGAGAACGAGTGCAGAGTGATATATATATATATATATATATATATATATATATATATATATATATATATATATATATATATATATATATATATAGTTTGAACGAAAGAGGAGATGCAGAGAAAAATAAATCAAGAAAGAAAGAGAGGTCTGAGATTTGCATGCATGTTTTATCCTTTCATAATGCACGGTATACGCGTGAATGTACGCGCATGAACTATAGTTACGGGGATGTGTAAGATTCGTTCATCACAGAAGGCGAGTGAATGAAACACTCTGAATATGCAAATCGCTAACGAGGCACGGCCCAGCCTGATAAGTGATTATGTCGTACACGCTATACTATAGAGCAAAGGGAATAAACGAAGCGTTGGTCTATCCTGATGGCGTGCTCGAAGTGCATATCTCTCTGTAGTTCACGATGTTGCCGCGTTCCGCGGAGCTCGATCACAGTTGGTGTCTCACTCGGCACGTAGGCGCTGACATTATGCGACGACCTTTTGCGAAGAGTTGTATATAAAGGGTGCCGTGTAGAATGTCGACAACCGATTGCCTAGTGCTCGCCACGTGGTTCGCGAGCTTTGTCTCTTTGAGCACGCATCCAGGCATTTTCGGAGACTGTTTCTTCATTTTTAAGTGGCGTTTTTGTGAGTTATAAGTGTCTAGAGAAACGTTCTGCTTGCCCCCATTTTTCGGATAACGGATGAAGTCCTTACTTTGAACTCGAAAATGCTTTATGCCGAGGTGCAACAAGACTTCGCTGATGTCATTTCCGTCACGGAACTGAGGTCTGTAATATACGCATGAGCCAATGGTACAAAAAACTTATTATGGATTCATATGACCTGGGAGACGACCCAGCCACCTCTTGGTCCACGACAGTAGGTTCCAGATGCTCTACCCAATACGCTACCGACGCACAGGCACGAATATTCACCAACGCGCTTTATACCTATGCAACGGTCTCCCTCTTTCAGCCTATTCGGTTGGCATGGGTGATGACGCCGTATGGGAGCGCCGATCTAGGGAGCGCTTTCGCAGTGCAATGGAGGCTATCAGTGCAATGGTGTAGGAAGGTCTTCGGTGAAATGCGGCGTACGCGGGGATTAAATTCGGTGATTACGTAGTTGCGTGTTCTGCCTTTCGTGTCGTGTTGGTGTGTGACGCCTATAGTCGACAGGGCACTGCAGCTTCCAGATTGCCATCGGTTTCTCCGCCGCCTACTGATTCGAGTGCGATAGCACTAAGTGGAGCTAACGTGTGTCCTTTTATATATCGTCTTGCCCTTCGTATACTCTTGACCGACATTCAGGTTCAGCTATGTCCCCTGATTTTGTTTAGCCCGGTTAATACGTAGGCTACACAGTTATCAAACTGGTTAAGGTTTATTTTGATTCCATTGTAAAATTAAGGAACAGCTGGAGAAGGCTGCAAAGGCCTGACAAAGGGCTCCCGATCCCACTGGCACAAAGTAACAGCGGTACAACAAATTCAACCATACCAACGGCTGTGAGCGGGAGTACTCATGGCCGATTGTCCAACTCAGAGTCGCCATAGGTTAGAGGTAAGCTAAATATATTCCTTTCCTCGAACTTCTGACCGTTTCGGCGAAAAGTGTTTCCCCTCGTCGCCTTCGCTCCATAGCAACGCCATATGTTGAGCGAATGCATTGCGTTGAGGCCTAACAATGAGCTCAATACAGAAAGCAAAAAAAAAATGCATGTGCTCGGTGGACGTGCTATAAATAATGCTATTCATGATTGTATACCTCTGCGAAAGTGTCATTTAACAAAGATACACATTGTTAGAATGGTAGGGGGGTTAAGTGGGAAGGGTGCCTTCCCCCCTCTGACCTCGCAGATTCGCACATAGAAAACGAAGAGACTTACCCCCTTCGCCACCATAATCCAATTTACTTGCACTGCACACTTTGGCAGGCCTTGTCGTTGGTGCTATATCAGACACGTTGTGTAGTATTCATGTAATACACAACTGGAATAAAAGTAAGACGTTAGTTCCGGTGTACATTGGAAACTCAAAGCAATAAAACGCTGTGGAAAAACTGGTGACACTGGAGTTCACTTTTCGAGAAGCGGGGGTTCTTTACGTGCACCTAAACTAAGCACACGAGGCTCAATCATTTTCGCTGCATAGAAATGACCGCTTACCTGTGGCACGTGTGTATGTTATGCTTAATCAATCACCTCTCCTCCCTCCCCCAATTAGTTCAGGACAAGACAAAAGGGCAAGTGTGAGAACGGTGGTGGGTTGGGGAGGAACAACAAAAGTACGGCGGAAGTGATATAACCGTATACGTAACCGTATGTCCACATTTTGACCTCTACAACAACGGAGTTATTTTTTGCGTGCATTTTCTGATGCAGAATGTTTTGGTGTGCGTCAACGAAAACATGCTGCGCACAATTTGTTCGCGCTTGGTCGGCGCCAGCACTGCGCAGCCGGGGAAGCCAGGGCTACAGAAAGTTTGTCACCCTCCTAACCGAATGCCCCCGGCTTATGGCAGACACATGCGCAAACAAGGTCACAACTTGTACACGGAATGTGTCTCTCCTCCATCCTCTCCCTCTTTCCATGTCGTTCTGACTCGTTTCTCTCTGTCCTGTCTTCATTCCATGCCGCTGATAGTATACAAGCCCATGTGCTCG